GACAGGACATTGGATAAAATTCTGTATGAAGTTGAAACAGTTGTTATCCCATGATAAGTACTACAGTCAGTTTCACCACCCATCTTGCAAACTGGTACAATAATAGACTCTGTCCACTGATCAAGCAATTTTTCCTTACTACAAATAGAATTAATGAGTTTATGGATCTCAGACCATGTGTTTCATGTTCTGGTTGAATCAGTTCTGCTGGAATTGGATCACTACCTGCTGATTTTTTACTTTCCATTTTGAAATAGCAAATTCAACTTCAAAAGGAGTAGGCTCACTTACCAACAGCTCAGCTGTATGTATTTCTAACTGCCTAACACCATTGACCCTATTCACATTCAACAGCAGAGTGTAGCAGTTCTTCCACCTATTCAAAACATTGTGGAAATCTGCAAGCACACCACCATTCTCATTCTTACTTAGTTCTAGGTTGGCAGCCCTTCTTAATTTATTCCTCCACACAGGTCTCTAATGTTCTTGTTCTTGAAATTCCTACTGACTTCACGTCTTACATTGTTCAGATTATACCCATTTATTTGACTTGGATCCTGTAAGCTTTGAAATTTAGCTGGCTTCTTTTGATCATCACTGCTGACTCATGGCTAATGCTTCTTAATTAATAATTACCATATACTGGGTGTTGAAAAAGAGAGACCTACCTACCATACATACCAAAATATTCATTCAGTTCAGTTGATTTATGACATAAAATATTGTATTTTATTTACACACTTACTTTTGACTTTAATGCAAATTTGTTTACAATTACACATTAACTTTAACTAAAACTGCCACATGTTTCAGCAATGTTTGGTCACCCTCAAGCAACTGTTCACTTGTGGAAATTTCTACACTGTACAATATTAGTTCATAAGTTAAAATATTCCAATGTCATTCCATTTTCATTGTTCACTCATTAAAATACATTTGCTTGAGAACATCATTCTTTATCTTATATCTTACATACTATACATACTAACGGGGCACATAAATATAACAATAATAATAATAATAATAATAAGAAAGGCAATAGCTCAGAACACAAAAGAAAAATGGGAAAAGAAAAGAATGCACAGACAATACCCACACAGCTTAGATGACACTCTGGTGAATAAGGAACAGACCTATCGATGGTTGAAATTTGGAGGCATTAAAGGGGAAACAGAAAGCTTAATCGTAGCAGCTCAGGACCAAGCAATCAGTACAAACTATTTTAAGAGAAAAATACTGAAAGAAGAGATCGGAAGTAAATGTCGACTGTGTAAAGAATACGAAGAAACTATAGACCATTTAACATCAGGATGTCCCGTTTTGGCGAAGAACGAATATATAGTAAGGCATGATAAAGTTTGCATGCATTTA